GGATCCTCGTGTTTTGTTCTTCTCTGTTCATAGGTATGCCAGAATTTTGAACTGATACTCATTCTTTTGCTTGATCATTTAAGCTTATGTGTAACATGCACAAAGTTATAGTTAGATTTCTTCATGTAGTGCTGTTAAGATCTGCTGCATGACATTGCTTTGTTGTTTTCTTGAATTAGAAGTTGCTATCAAGAGGCTTACGCTTTCAAGGATTCTGTGACATAACAATTTCTAACCTTTCCATTCTATCGAAAGTTTTTATCATTGGAGCTTTTAGCTTGTAACTTGTTTGGTTGACTTGTCCCTCATAAGATCAAAATTCTTAGTTATGATGACGGATAAAGCTGTGCTTTTGTCAGGCATGAGTTTGGAAGCTTTTATCCAGCTACTGATGATGGTTTATATACTATGATTGGAGAAGGACCAGGAGCAGGATACAACATTAATGTCCCTTGGGAAAATGGTCGGTGTGGGGATGCAGACTATTTTGCAGTTTGGGACCATATTTTGGTTCCTGTTGCCAAGGAATTTAATCCTGACTTAATTATAGTCTCTGCAGGATTTGATGCAGGTTGGTGGATTAACCATTTCTGTTGAACATATTTTTCCTTATACCTTCCATTTTTCTGACTAGTAGGGGTTTGTAATTTGTTGTGCTGTGAAGATATCAAATAGTATTTCATAAAAGAAACTTACTCAACTCAAGAGTAGTCATCTCATAAAAATTTAAATACCATCTCAACATGATTTTTTTTTTCCTTCTGATGGGAAGGGGGACGGGGTGTTGTTATGAAACTATGTATTATCACTAATTATCCCAATTTCAGTAGTTGTTAATTTTGTTCATTTTTATCATTTGGAGATGGCCACTTTTAAAATCAAAGCAGTGGAAAGAATGCAATCTTCTGAAGAAAGTTGCTGGGAAGGTAAGATATTTATTTATTCTATATGTAACTCTTTAAGTATCATAATTTTTTTCAAATGAATTTGCTTGAAACAGCTGCTGGTGATCCTCTAGGGGGTTGTTGTGTC